TCCCCTAGGTGTCCTATTTGCAAACTTCTACATGGGTACCATCGAGCAAAAAGTCTTAGTCGACATGAACTTGAAACCGGCCATATACTGCAGGTATGTTGACGACATTTTTACACAGGTACCTGATATCAGACATCTGCAGGAGCTGAATTTTACATGCTGGTACTTCCATCGCACTAATCCAGTCTGACCGATTATATAGAATCGACAACTGGATCATTTACATGGTAATCTCTACACTGACCGGTTACATACTCGAGTCAGTCTACACACTTATATACAACTTTATACTACAGTGTGGTACCGTGTACAACATCCATCTCCAGGTACCGCCCTACCAGTCACCTGGACGTGCCACTGACAGCTGTCACTCAGCTGCTCCCTCACTTGTAACACTTTTAAAAGTACTCACGGCTCCTGGTATTCACCACAATCCTTTTCCTGGTCACTACCTCTCTGGCTGTAAACACCTAGCTCGCTCCTCGTGCGAGGTGTGGCCCTAGAATGTCCAGGGGAAGGTGGCCTAACCACGTGGCCCTAAGGAGTGACCACAGGTAGCGCATGACGTCATAGCACGCCACCCGGCTGAGCTGGGGGTTTGGCCGCGCGGGGGACCTGGGTGGGTGCCCCCCCCTCCAGGCTGCTGGCCAAAGTGGGTGGCGCGGGTGGCCCCGCGGGCGGCTGGTTGGCGCCCACTAGCATACACACGTGTTTGGGGAGATCACTTTACACCCCATCCTCAGCATGCTCGCTCGTACACTCGGGTGACAATGGCTGGCGGCGTCACCACACTGACGCCGCCTGGCGGAATTCAAAGTCCAACAGGGGCCTGTAATCTCACCACAATTACACTGCCCTGATTCCACCAATTGTCCATCCACACTAGACAGGTTATTTGAACCACCTGTTACACCATGAGGCTCTGCCAGCTGCCTCATGGGTGCCCACTGTCTCTGAGGCTATTTTACTGGTCCTTCCGTACCTCATCAGCCCCAAATTTCACGAAAATTGGGCCTAGACACAACCCGGGATGGCAGGAGTGCCATACCTGCTGGACAACATGGTAACGTCCGTGATTAACGTGGGTGGAGATGGGAGACTCCCACCTCCACCCATCTACGTCCTCCTCCACCTGCTACCCAGCTCAAACTACCGATTTCGCGGGCTAGGGAAACTCAAAATGCCCATATCTCCCCCCTACTTTGTCTTGACCAATCAGAAGGAAGCCGGCACACCACCATGGTGCCGCCTACAATAACAGCTGTTCGCGCCAAAATCAGCTCGGAGCAGAGGTGCCTAACCCAATCACAGGCCTCACTCACCCTCAGGCGTCCCATGACGTCACAAGGAGGGGGAGGCCTAAAGACAGTGGCGCACTGTCTCACTTGGTGGGTGGGGGGGGCAACGTTCACCCCACTTCCCCCCCACCTCTAACGGTTTGAGAGTCAAGACGCACAACCATCGTCAACAGCAGACACATGGACATCAGCCACCACCAGCGACGTAGAGCGCGAAGCACCCGGAATCGCCACATCATCACCAGGGGCGCACTGTGCACACTGACATATGTCAGGGCCCCACTTCGGTCCGAGACCGTAACGGAGCCGGCGCCATCCGGCAACTGCAACGAACGCCCTTCGTTCCGCCGGAGGAAGTCCGGATACTCCACCTCCGGTGGGCCGTAACAAGCTCAACTCCATATACAGCCTCCACCGGGACACGAAGCATGTCGCACATCACCAACTCAATGGCCGGATAACCAGCCTTGCACGAGAATGCTAGTCCCACGGAATTCACCCGCAAAACAGGAGGAATTATATATATATATAGGAGGAAATATATATATATTTTCTGACAAATTTGTCAGAAAAAGCTCACCAAATTGATTGGGAGAGTGCGTCTTCAATAACAAATTGTAAAAGCACCTATAACAGAAACATAATTGAATCCGCTTTGATACAGATCACCAAAGAAAGTAATTTGAATATTAGCAGTGGTCTATATAACTTAGATCCATTTCTAATAGATCAGCTAAAGGGCGATTTAAGTAGAATCATTGAAAAACATTTGTCTCACTAATTTATTGTATATATTTACCTCTTTATGTTATAATTACCTATGTATTATGCTTGTATGTCTGCTGTATCAGATGGGCCATTGGGCTACATCGGATGGGCCAATTGGGTGCATCTGATGGGCCAATGGGCCTTCTGCGTTGTCCAAGTATTGTACCTCACCTTACTTCACCACTCTCTCCTGCCTATTTATACCCATCACTCGATCTGTAAAATGACCTTCTGAAGATGTATTTAATATACGAAAGTACTTAAGGAAATTTCCTGTTTCAGTTTTCCTTCGTGGTCTGACATTGTCACATTCTTAATCACGTGTTTATTTTCGTGATATACACACACATATATATATATATATATATATATATATATATATATATATATATATATATATATATATATATATATATATATATATACATGCCTTAGCAGTGACACGAAAAAAACATGCTTTTTTTATAACAGCGCCATCTGTTGGACGTAAAAGCACAACAGGCTGTAATCTCCGAAAGTTCTTCACTGATTGCTTGAAATTTTAACACAATATTCCATTCGAATACGTTCGTATTTTTATATACCTGCTATATAGATGCCACACCTGTGTCAGGTAAAAGCACGCTTTTTTGAAAAACAGTGCCATCTGTTGCACATATTAGCAACACGATATACTACATATGTTATGATTCCAATTCAATGTTTCCGATTTCATTGATAAATTTAATTTTCAAATGATTTCAATTCTGGCTAATAGGTACGATTTAATTTTCAAATAATTTCGATTTATTTTCATTCTGATTTAATTATTTTGTGTGACATTGTGTTGGAATTGAGTTGTGATGCTTACCATACCGTTCATTTCATAAGTAAAAGTATAGATGCCACACCTATGCCAGGTAAACACATTCATTTTTAAGAAACAGCGCCATCTTTTGCACGTAAGAGCAAAACACGTTGTACTAAATATGTTTTGATTCCATTTCAATGTTTCCAATTTCATTGATAAATTAAATTTTCATAGATTTCTATTTCTTTTCATTGTGATTCATTTATTTTGTGTGAAATTGCATTCGAATTGAGCTGTGTTGTTTATCATACAGTTCATTTTGTGAGTATAGTTTATTTTTTTTTTCATTAATTTTCATTTATTTTTTAACTGTTTTTCTTAAATTTAAGTGATCGGAACATCAGATCATTTGATGTTCCCAATTTTCTGATGGAAACATTAGATCATTTGGGAATGCATCGGACGACGGAGTGGGGAATGGTGGGGAGGACGAGAGGACAGGAGGGGAGGATAATGGGAAGGACGAGGAGACAAGGGAGGGGGTAATGGTGGGAAGGACGAGGGGACAGGGGAGTTGGGGATGGTGGGGTCGAGGAGACAGTGTAGTGGAAAATGGTGGGGAGGATAAGAGGACAGGGGTGTGGGGGATGGTAGGGAAGACGAGAAGATGGGAAAGTGGGGGAATGGTAGGGAGAACGAGGGGGACGGGGAAGTGGAAGATTGTGGGGAAGACGAGGGAACAGTGGAGTGGGAAATTATTAGAAGGTCGAGGACACGGTAGAGTGGGGAGGACAAAGGGATGGGGAAGGGGGGGATTGTTGGAGAGGACGAGGGGATGCGGGAGTGAGTGAGGAATAGTTAAATATGTCCCTTTTTGTCATATTCAACAACATATAATACATATATATATATATATATATATATATATATATATATATATGTCGTACCTAGTAGCCAGAACGTACTTCTCGGCCTACTATGCAAGGCCCAATTTGCCTAATAAGCCAAGTTTTCCTGAATTAATATATTTTCTCTAAATTTTTTCTTATGAAATGATAAAGCTACCCATTTCATTATGTATGAGGCCAATTTTTTTTTATTGGAGTTAAAATTAACGTAGATATATGACCGAACCTAACCAACCCTACCTAACCTAACCTAACCTATCTTTATAGGTTAGGTTAGGTTAGGTAGCCGAAAAAGTTAGGTTAGGTAGGTTAGGTAGCCGAAAAACAATTATTTCTTGAAAACTTGGCTTATTAGGCAAATCGGGCCATGCATTGTAGGCAGAGAAGTGCGTTCTGGCTACTAGGTACGACATATATATATATATATATATATATATATATATATATATATATATATATATATATATATATATATATATATATATATGTCGTACCTAGTAGCCAGAACGCACTTCTCAGCCTACTATGCAAGTCCCGATTTGCCTAATAAGCCAAGTTTTCCTGAATTAATATATTTTCTCTAATTTTTTTCTTATGGAAAGATAAAGCTACCAATTTCATTATGTATGAGGTCAATTTTATTTTATTGGAATTAAAATTAACGTAGATATATGACCGAACCTAACCAACCCTACCTAACCTATCCTAACCTATCTTTATAGGTTAGGTAGCCGAAAAAGTTAGGTTAGGTTAGGTAGTCGAAAAACAATTAATTCAGGAAAACTTGGCTTATTAGGCAAATCGGGCCTTGCATAATAGGCTGAGAAGTGCGTTCTGGCTACTAGGTACGACATATATATATATATATATATATATATATATATATATATATATATATATATATATATATATATATATATATATATATATATATATATATATATATATATATATATATATATATATATATATGACTAGGTGAGAGGGAATAGGTTCCTAAAAATGCTTCTGTTTAGTAAGCGTGGATAAATTGGACTCCCTTCACATCGTGACAACTGCCTGAATAACCAATGAGGGTTTTGGCGAGGGGTGTGCCTTGTGCACCATGTGTCACGGAACCCAACACCTGCCGATTAATGCAACGAGCTTTCATATGCATGTCCTGATCTGGTATAAAAGACTTTCGAGCAACCTACGGTGTTAGTGCATCTAGTCCCTGGCCGGTCAGCGGACGTTCTGGGACTGTGCTCCAAGCCCCTGTTGCTGCTACACGTCGGTGTAGTCCCCTGCAGCAGTAGCAGTAGAGACAGTAGCAGCCCACTCCTCCTGTCCCAGCTGTACGCTACCAACATGAAGACTTTCATTCTAGCTGCTTTGGTCTTCTGTATTTTCCTCCTGGCACAGGTACGGAGGATCCCTTACGTACAGCCCAAGTAAGCGCAGTACTATACACCCACTTTAAACTTTCAACTTAAGAAGATAACAGTGTTTACATGACTACAAAAATAGACATTAAAGACAGCTATTTATTATAGCAACATCATGGGCAATGAACAAATCAGAGGTTCATATATACAATTTTACTGCAGTGGTATAAATAATAAGAACCAATAATATGTTGTTCTCGTAAACTTTATTCAAACTGGGAACCTATACTCAGTTGTTGCAATTTTTATGCAGTTTAGAAAATATATCATCTGTCCATTTGCTGAGTATTTCCTTCTTATATTCTCTCTCTAGTGGAAGTCCATCCACTTGGGCTGGACGGTAGAGCGACGGTCTCGCTTCAAGCTGCTCAGCGTTCAGTCCCGGACGGTCCAAGTGGTTGGGCACCATTTCCTCGACCCATTCCAAATCCTTATTCTGTCCCCATCCAAGAGCTATATAGTCATAATTCCTTGGCGCTTTTCCCTGATAATTCCCTCCTCTCTCTCTCTGTTTATCTAAATAGTGTTCATTAGTTAAAATGAATATATGTCCTGCAAACTATACATTCATACTCTTTGAACATATAAAAATGATCACTACGATATTTGGAGATAAAACAGATTTGTGCTGAAAAGAATGTTTCGCTATTGCATACACTTCCGAAGATCACATACAGAAGTCGTAAATCACAGGAAGTATGTTTTGCAGGAATATTTTAAATTTAAGGCAATTATATTTTTATGACTTAGCATTTAAAGAACCCTCCAATATATTCTGACTTCTAATATAACTAAAAGTTTTTAGTGTGACGACAACAACAATAAAACACTTTTTCCGCCAAATGTTTTATTTGATGGCCTCTATGTGTTTTACAACGTTACCATAGAGTTTTTATTTTTTTATCTTCTCAAGTTATTTCCTTGTGATCAAACTCTAGCGTGTGTAGTTCAGGGGCGATGGCCACACAGATTTTTCATATATATTTTCCGAGAAATGTCTTCAAAAAGGAACACAAGCATTTCTTACATAGGTCTCACGACTTCCAACATTTTTGTACAGTCAGTGTGGTCAAGCGGTTAAGGAGCCAGGTACGCCAAGGTGCACAGAGCTCCTGGCTTCCTGGGTTCGAATCCTTCTGGAGTGAGGAGTTTTCAGTTGCATACTGACTTGGAGACCATTCAAGCTTCTTCGCATATATACATACATATATATATATATATATATATATATATATATATATATATATATATATATATATATATATATATATATATATATATATATATATATATATATATATATATATAGAGAGAGAGAGAGAGAGAGAGAGAGAGAGAGAGAGAGAGAGAGAGAGAGAGAGAGAGAGAGAGAGAGAGAGAGAGAGAGAGAGAGAGAGAGATAATACCAAAGTATTTCAATCTACAGGAACAGGTGCATGGAAAAACTGTTGAAAATCGTCAGGAGGTAAATGATCAAGACCTGCTGACTCAGAGAAGAAGAAACACTGGTACTGACAAACATGGCGGGAAAAGTGTTGGTCACGGCAGAATTGATGAAGTAAGAACAGGTCACCGAGACCAGAATGGAGGAAAATCAGTTCCTTCCAAGATAAAAAAAGCTGACACTGTTAAGAAATCGTTAAAACATCGAACTAAAAAACAGGAAACGAGTTTTCGTACCCAGAATGGACAAAAGCGTCATGATGGGCAGAAGAGGAAAAGTTCTATCAAAAGGAAAGGAGAAAAACGTCGAGGGAGCAAGAAAGGCATAAAGAATAGTGTAGATCAACCCAGCAGGAGTAAGAAAACAACTAGTCGCACCAAGAGCGGAAAGAATAATCGCGGAGGCAAGAATAAGGATAAACTCCAACGTGGCAAACATCGGCGGCAGAAGAAGAAAGATGGTCGCGTCAAGAATGGCAAAAAGGTTTTCACTGTCAAGGAGGCTGCTAAGGGACGCGACAAGTCTAATAAAGAAGTTCCCACTGCCAAAAAGATCGTTAAGGGACGTAAAGTCACTTCAGAGAAAAAACAAAAGAAGAAATCAAGAAAAAATTTAAAAAAGTCAAAACCCAAAAACCGTAAGACAGGCGGCCGTAAACAAAAAAAAAATAAAAAGACAATGAAAACAAACTCAAAAAAAACAAAACCCACCAAAAATCAAAGAAGGAAGCCAGCGTCAAATAAACAAAAGAAGGTGATGAATGGGAAAAGAGCAAAGAAAGTTAAAGGCATAAAAGTAAAGGGGGATAAATACAAAAAGAAGCAAAACAAAACTAATAAGATCCAAATGAAACATAACAAAAAAACAAAGAAAAACCGTAAAAAAAACAGTAAGGACAAACGCAAGAAACACAAAAATACCAAGAAGAATAAACCCAAAGTTAAAAGCAGCAAGAACTCTAATAAAAACAATAAAAAGCCCAAGAAAAGTAAAGCCAAGGCGGGTAAGAAAGGTGACGAGCCGGCAGTAAAGGAGGAAGGGAAGCAGTCTGACGGGAGGAAAGGTTATCCAGCTTCAGGTGAGAGTCATGGTGGCGATATTGACTCTAAAATAAAGTGCAAACCTCATAAAAAGTGTACTCAAGCCGGCGGGAAGTGCCAGAAGAAAAAGACCTGCAACACCAAAGTTGCCGGTGTCAAGTGCAAGGGGAAGTCGTGCGAGTGTTGCCTCTCATGTAAGTGTCTATTTGTTTTCAATGTTTGTTTGTTCATTTTGTTGAAATGGAAGGAGCAGGAAGTTATTAGCCTGACAGTTGCTTATGACTATCAAACGTTTGCCTCTTCATTTTGTGCCTGGTGTATCAATCCATCTATCCATCATCTCTCCACAATATGTGAGATAGTAATATGATCTCGCAAAGATGATATTACTTTTTAAATTAGCAACTTGGGATTAGAGCTGTTAACTTTTTCTGTATGTCTTAACTATTAGTCTAGTACTTGAAAGTGAAAGTTGCTCAAGATTTATTTGTTGTAAGTTTACTTTACTTTTCACAGTTACATATAATGACTGATGTCTGTTCTATGGAGAGATACAAAACCTGCTCAAAAATATATTTTAAGTCTGTAACTTTAATACATCTGAAATATACATCGGTGTCAAACGAGATATATTAGAGGCAATTTAGGTTAAGTGACAAAATTTGAAACAAATGTTGAAAAAAATATTAAATAGATAATTATAATGTCCCGTTTGCTGGACTCTCTACTATAATAAGTAATTGTGACTGTATTTGATTTTTGAAGTTATTTGACGTCACTACCACTATTTCTCCTTCCGGAAGTAACATACTGAGCAAGACCCGACTCTAGTATTGTCTGATTCAGGTCTCTTAAACTCTCCTCTGAGCTCAGCGCTCTTACTTCTGACAACAATGTTGTAGTAAATTACTCTGGACATTCTCCAGCAGTTTATTGTGCTCGTAGAGACGAGCTGACCCCGAGCTGAATATTGTTGAGCCAGTCATTCATTTGCTTCCGCTCTACTTGTCACTGTTGCTACTTTATGTTTAATTTTTATTTTCGTTCTTCTTACCACTAATGCAGCCATATGTTTGACTTTTTGACAACAATAGAGTTTTTCCTGTTGTTCTCAGCGTATACTTCTCTGGACCGCCTGCTGTTTACTGGAGATCTGTTGAGGCCTATTACTATTTATCATTAAATCCTCTGCTGTTACTGTGATGTAATATTGTGCATTGACCACGTCTATCACAGGGTATTCAAAACGAACCTGCATATGTATTTACGATTCTATTAGCTTTCCCGGACAATGCTCTTTTATATAAAGGGGCTGTATATCAATGAGCAGGTTCATACGGAGTAGATAGGCTAAAAATTTATATTCTGGAATAATGTCCAATTATATTATTAAAATTGCCATCACTTTTTGTACTGCAATTGTTTGTGGCTTTTCACATAATGCTCCGAATCTTAAAAATTTCAGTTTAGCTCTAGATAAAACAATAATAATATATTTAAAGAGTGGTTAAATTTATATGAAAGCCTATATTGAGATCCTCAAATAATTATATTATTTAATATTATAGTGCATAAATTTATAATAATTATCTTTCAAATAGCTTGTGCAATGAGCCCAAAAAAGAAGTGTACGATATACAAGGGCGTGTGCAAGAAGAAGTGTGGGTCGACTGAGCGCCAGATAGCCAAGGGATGCTCCAAGAAGAAGTGCGTCTGCTGTGCCAAGGCTTGCAAGCCATTGAGCGCCTGCAATGTTCTCGGTGGCTACTGTGTCTCCAGTAAGAAGCTCTGTACAGGATTGATAAACAAAAAGGGCTGCAAGGGAAACAAATGTCTCTGCTGTTATCCAGGTAAGACATCCTTTACCATCACTTAAGCACATACTTGTACATCTAGGAACGAATTTACATAACATATTTGCACTTATAGTTGCTGTTAGGAATCCAGATCTCAGTAACTGGTATTAACCTCATTAGCAACCTCGGAAGACCATGCACAACTGCCAGAGTTCCGGCAGCTTCTGAAAGTACTCTTATAGGCAATCTTTATACATCATTCATTTGATTCCAGAAATTCCAAGAACGCTGGTACATATCAATTCAAAATGTAGCTATTTTGTACAAGATGCAGGCAACTATATTCTGAATCTAAAGCAACAAGTTTTGCTGTTTTATCAAAGTTCTTAATTATATGTGTATGTGTGTGTGTGTGTGTGTGTGTGTGTGTGTGTGTGTGTGTGTGTGTGTGTGTGTGTGCGCGCGTACTCACCTATTTGTGCTTGCGGAGGTTGGGCTCTGACTCTTTGGTATGTGTATGTATGTGTGTGTGTGTGTGCACTCACCTAGTTGTACTCACTTAGTTGTGCTTGCTGGGTTGAGCTCTGGCTCTTTGGTCCCCTCCTCTCAACCGTAAATAATCTGATGTACAGATTCCTAAGCCTACTGGGCTCTATTATATCTACTTTTGAAACTGTGTATGGAGTCAACCTCCACCACATCACTGCCTAATGCATTCCACTTGTTTACTACTCTGACACTAAAAAAGTTCTTTCTAACATAACTTTTGGCTCATTTGGGTACTCAGTCTCTACCTGTGTCTCCGTGTTCGCGTACCACCCGTGTTAAAAAGTTTATTCTTATCTCCCCATTTCAACTCCTCTGAGAATTTTGTAGGTAGTGATCATGTCTCCCCTTACTCTTCTGTTTTCCAGTGTCGTGAGGGCCATCTCACTCAGCCTTTACTCGTAACTCATGATTCTTAGTTCTGAGACTAGCCTAGTGGTATACCTCTGAACTTTTTCCAGTTTTGTCTTGTGCTAGACAAGGTACGGGCTCCGAGCTGGGGCAGCATACTCCAGGATTGGTCTTACATATGCGGGAGTACAATGTTTTGAATGATGCCGTACACAAGTTCCTGAAGGCTGTTCTGATGTTAGCCAGCCTAGCGTATGCTGCAGATGTAATTCTTTTTATGTGGGCTTCAGGAAACAGGTTTGGTGTGATATCAACTCCTACATCTTTCTCTCTGTCCGTTTCTTGAAGTACTTCATCTCCCATTCGGTATCCTGTGTCTGGCCTCCTGTTTCCATCGCCTAGTTTCATTACCTTGCATTTACTCGGTTGAACTTTAGAAGCCATTTGTTGGACTATTCATTCAGTCTGTCTAGGTCATCTTGTAGCCTCCTACTATCATTCTTTATTTTAATCCTTCTCATAATCACCAGCAAACAATAAGAGGAAGGATTCTATACCCTCTGGGAGATCATTTACATATATCAGAAACAGTATAGGTTCATGGACTGAACCCTGCAGTCTGAATATGCAGACTGAATATGAATATGCATTTAAAAGGTATGCTGAATTCTACGGACCTTTGGCTGCACATTTCATATTGACTTCCGGAAAAGGGTGTGGTGGCCGATGCCTCTTCAACGGAGGCAAACTGGATGACTCCGACCACTCTGTGAAGCTAAAAATCACCATGCAAAGTTGCATGAGACTAGCCCCAAGAGTCTGGCCTCTAACCTTGTTAGGTTAAAAGCCAGACTCTCAGGGAGAGAGCGAGAACAGATTAGTTAATCTGTTCCTTCTACCTCTCTCCCATTGCCTTTGTCTCACGTTCCATCTCCATCCCTCTCATACGTTCCCTCTTCCTCTTTCCGGTCTTTTTGCCTCATGTCCAAAGGTGAATCAGTGTTATGGACATTGAATCAACGTTATCGACATTGATTCAACGTCGATAACAGGTGAAATATCTAATATTAACACTAAGGATAACCAAACCCACATTTAAGACTTCTTACGAGACGATGGTCGATGGTCTTGATGGTCGCAATATGAGCCAGTCCTACTTAATGAGACACATTGGGGTCGACCCTAGCCACCTTAAGACAATTGCCATAAACTTACAAATCCCCCTGCAAAGTTTTGAGTCTAACTACCTCCAAGTGTCTGGCCCCAACCTTGAACAAACAAATCAAGAGACGCTCTCTCTTAGATATAAATACATTCATTCAAGGAATATCTACATCACCATATAAGCATTATTTAATAAAAAATTATTATCTAATAATCCAAATTTACAATACTTAAATATACGGTTCTATTTTCCTTTTACTAATTAAATTTTATTTGTCATCTTCGACTGATACAGCTTCGACAACGACCCAAGTGTCAAATGCAACAACCTCAGGATCAAATACAACAACTATTGCAGCAAACACAACTACTGCAACAAACGCTACAACAACTTCAGCCAACGTGACAACTTTGACAACCAATGTGACAACTTTGACAACCAATGTGACAACCACGGCAGTCAACGCAACAACTGCAGCCAACACGACGACTACAGCAGCCAACGCGACAACTACTACAGCCAACACGACAACTACTGCAGCCAACACGACAACTACTGCAGCCAACACGACAACTACTGCAGCCAACACGACAACTACTGCAGCCAACACGACAACTACTGCAGCCAACACGACAACTACAACAGCCAACACGACAACTACAGCAGCCAACACGACTACTGCAGCCAACACTACTATAGTAAATACAACAACTACTGTAGTCACCACAACTACAGTGAACAATACAGCAATACTGGCTAATCTCACTTCGCAACTCAACCAGTTACTCGCCACTCTAAACGGTACAACTAATATATTAACAACATTGCAAGCCCTTCAACTTCAAATTAGTAATATTATTACCACAATTACCGCACTACTTGGAGGAGGAGGAGGGAGGAGGAGACGCAGCCCCTCACAAGACATTCTGGCGACCCAATATGTCATCGACAACACAACAGACGCGTTAACAAGAGGAGACCTTACCACTGCCATTGGTCTCCTTCCACAGCTAATTCTGGCGCAGGCCACATTTGGACAAATATTTTCATGCGCAGTTAGTCGGTCTTTGTCAGTTGATTCAGGCCTGCTGGCAGTCGCACAGTCTGCTCTAGCCAGCGTTAACAAGGCTATATTCGCTGCTAATGCACAAAGAAGCATTACGGTCGACCAGATAAACCCCATTCAGACACGGATCAGCCAACTCGGAGGAACCAATGTGACTGTACCTACCATCTCGCCCCTGATAATCACCCCGGAGTCCTTGGTCAGTTGCCAGTTAACAACCTCAGCACCAAACACAACTACTACTACTCAGAGTACCACAACCGTACAACTCAACACAACTACCAATGTAAACACTACAACCACCAATTCAACACTGGCTGCCCTCTATTCACAGCTCAGTTCATTGCAATCCGCCTTAAATGCCACAGATAATGCAATTACGGCTCTTGCCCAAGTTCAAGCCTTACTTAAAAATCTTGTAGACGCAATTAACGCATCAATACATGGACGCAGGAGAAAACGCAGCCCCTCTCAAGTTATCCAGGGAATTCAAACTCTAGTCATCAAAACTAGAGATGCGATAACAGCAAGAAACACTGCCACTTTATCAATTCTTGATGATCAGTTAAATGCAGCGCAGAATATATTGATCCTAATAATACAGTTGATTGTAAATAACTCTTTAACAATCGATTCAGACTTTCAATTAACCGCTCAATCATCTGTTACCATTGTCAATGATGTAATAACCAGTGCGTATAGAAGTAGAGGCGATATTGTCAGTCAAATCAACTCTGTACAGCAGAACATCAGCCAGCAAGGGGGAACCACCGTGGCTGTACCCACCGCTCCGCCCACCGTCATCTTCACAAACCTACCGTTTGTCCCTACTACAGCTAACATTACTCCGGCCAGCATAACTACTACAGCCAACATAACTACTACAGCCAATATAACTACTACAACCAACATAACTACTACAGCCAATGTAACTACTACGGCCAATACAACAACTTCTATTGCCGGCAATGCAACATTGGCGAATCTCACTTCACAGCTTAGCCAACTGCAGAGCGCCTTAAATGAAACCGACAACGCAATTACAAGTCTTCAAAACCTTCAGAGTCAGCTAGCTAGACTTGTGGCCGCAATTAACGCATCGTTAGGAGGAGGAGGAAGACGAAAACGCAGCGTCCTTGCAAGTCTTCAAAACCTTCAGAGTCAGCAGCTAGACTTGTGGCCGCAATTAACGCATCGTTAGGATAACAGAGGAAGACGAAAACGCAGTTACCAATATTATTAGTCCGTTGCAGATCTATGAGAATTCATCTTCATTCAAACGACCATTACAGAAACACAGTTAGCGATAAGTACCAACATTCCCCATTCAAGACCGGGTTCTATACCACAGTAGCTACACAACAACCTCTGGTGGTACATCGGGTCCAACAACACCCGACAACCTCTGGTGGTGAAAACAACAGTTCCAATTATTACCTCTGGTGGTGCAGATCAGAGTCCAACAACCTCTGGTGGTACAACGGGTCCAACAACCTCTGGTGGTACAACGGGTCCAACAACCTCTGGTGGTACAACGGGTCCAACAACCTCTGGTGGTACAACGGGTCCAACAACCTCTGGTGGTACAACAGGTCCAACAACCTCTGGTGGTACAACAGGTCCAACAACCTCTGGTGGTACAACGGGTCCAACAACCTCTGGTGGTACAACAGGTCCAACAACCTCTGGTGGTACAACGGGTCCAACAACCTCTGGTGGTACAACGGGTCCAACAACCTCTGGTGGTACAACGGGTCCAACAACCTCTGGTGGTACAACGGGTCCAACAACCTCTGGTGGTACAACGGGTCCAACAACCTCTGGTGGTACAACGGGTCCAACAACCTCTGGTGGTACAACGGGTCCAACAACCTCTGGTGGTACAACGGGTCCAACAACCTCTGGTGGTACAACGGGTCCAACAACCTCTGGTGGTACAACGGGTCCAACAACCTCTGGTGGTACAACGGGTCCAACAACCTCTGGTGGTACAACGGGTCCAACAACCTCTGGTGGTACAACGGGTCCAACAACCTCTGGTGGTACAACGGGTCCAACAACATCTGGTGGTACACATCTGGTGGTTAGGTAGTACAATGGGCCCAACAACCTCTGGTGGTACAACTGGTCCACCCTCAGGAGGTACAGCCAATTCAACAAGCGGGTAGTTTAGCAAGATCAACAATCTCAAGTTGTACAACCAAAAATGAACGGTAGTATAGCTAACAATTAACAGTACTACAACAGGAAGTGGGACAATTTAGAAGGTTACAGCAAAAAATACAAGACCCTCGGTGATTACAACCGGAAATTCAATAAGATCAGAGAATTTCAGAATAAAATTCAGGAAGCAAAAACTCAATAATTATTATTGATAAATAATATTGACTCAGCAGGTAAAATAGTTTGCTTCCGCAATACAAGGTAAAGTATGTTAAAAGTATGCATTAACACATGTTAAAAGTATATAATAACACATGTAAAAAGGCTATATTAATACTTGTTAAACGTATACTTTACCACATGTTAAAAGTATTCATTAACACAAGTTAAAAGAAGAAATTAACACATGGTAAAAGAATACATTAACACATGTTAGAAGTAAATATTTAATAATGTTAAAAGTACACTTTAACCCATGTTAAAAGTACACAATAGTACATGGTAAAGTAATACACGTTAATACATGTTAAAGTAATACACGTTAATACATGTTAAAAGTATACTCTAATACATGCTAAAGTTCACATTAACACATGTTAAAAGTACACATTAACACTTTATAACAGTAAATATTAACACATGTTAAACGTGCACGTTAGTCATGTTAAAAATCGACATAGACAAACATTAAAACAACATAAACACATGGTAAAAGTACACGTCAACTCATTTTAAAATTGCCTAGTATTCATGTTAAAAGTGTACATTAAAACACGTGAATTACACATTAACATTAAAAGAATGTTGAATAAAATCAGATCTTTAGTTCTATATTATGGCAAACACAAATTTGTTTATTCATATTAGATAATTTTAAATGCTCACTATTTAAAAAAAATGTCGTCCCTAATGCATTTTCGTAGCCATCTGTAAAATTACATATATGATAGTTATATTTAATGATTATATCATCACTTTGATGAAGTATTTCCTACATATCATTCACTATTTTATATATTATATTCATTAAAACTATGTTGACCAAACCACACACTAGAAAGTTATGTGACGACGACGTTTTGGTCCGTCCTGGACCATTCTCAAGTCGATCGTTCGCAATCGACTTGAGAATGATCCAGGACGGACCAAAACTTCGTCGTCTCACTTTCTAGTGTGTGGTCTGGTCAACATATTTCAGCCACGTTACTGTGACTCCTCGTCTTCATTAAAACTACTTACTTATCAAGTTAAATATATTAATTTAATTATATTTTATCACATGCATACGACTGTTATACACACAAGTTCGGTCCAGTATTGGCCTTTTGAGTGCTGCACTGAGCATTTACACACAAAAACTGTTCTGAACAAGTAAACTCTACAGAACAACATGTATTTTATTTATCCCGAGTGTGTGGGTGCTTGCCTAACAGTGCTATCGAAGACGTGGAGACTAGCTCTTTGTGCCCTACCTACTAGCCTTGTTATATTTTTTTTTCATTATATTTTAACTATCCTGTAATTTGAATGCCAAATCTGGAAGCAAACGCAGCTGTACAATCTTGACAAACTTTTGGGAAGTTTCAGGATCAACCAATTAGCAATTCAGTTTGCATAAAAATTTCATAAGCTTTTATTAAATCTCGTCTCATAAAATTAGGGGATTTACAGTGACAGTATTCATTGTTTAATGGGGGTTACTGATACAAGCATCAAAGTATTAATGTTTTTAACAAGTGTTGAAGAGTTTTGGTGAAAAAGGTTAAAGGAAATGTGTTCTTATTAAACAAAATATGAATCTGCTGTCATGACAGAAGATTCATTTTGTCTTGAGTTCTAATGAGAAAAGATTAATAGTGTCCAGTGACCTTTAAAAATTTGAGTAATAGTGCCTGAGTTCAGTGAAACTAAATTCAATGTCTAAATCTCAAATAGAGCAATATTCAGTTCCTACGGACCTACTTTGTATGATATAAAACCCGGATTAGTTAGTTATCCTTCTTTAAACTATATTTAAAAGTTTTTACTCGAGAGCTGGTATGCTAATAGCATAGTAGTCCATGGACTACTAACATCTAACATACATTCACACTACTTTCGGTAAAACTGGTCATTATGTTGACGATTCTTGAAGAACTCGTGGGTTTTTCTGGCATGATCAGCTCTCCAGGATGCTTGAAACACCACAACAGGTTGTAAATACCTTAACGCCACCAACATCCCCTACACACCCTCCCCACTCCTTCCACCTAGCATCCACACACTCTCTGTCTCCACCCTCCCTGCACACCCACACACTCTGTCTCCACCTTCCCTGCACACCCACACACTCTCTGTCTCCACCTTCCCTGCACACCCACTCACTCTCTATGTCTCCACCTTCCCTGCACACCCACACACTCTCGGTCTTTTAGTGTGACCCTCTGGGGTGAGTGGCAGCGCTGCTCTCCCCTCTACTCCATCACTGAGCCACGCTAATGTGTCCACACAAACAACTGCTAATTTCTCGGTAACATCCCACTTCTCGCACCTCAAGCGTGCTGCTGGTCCGTCACCGGAATTCTCTAGCTGGAGTGAGAATCAGTGGTTCAAAAGCTGTGTTTCGTCTATGAGGCTCAAATTACGATCATTTGGGGCTTTCAACGTGATGAACAAGCTTACCGCGCGAACCTGGAACAACAGCAACAGCAAATAACCCTTCTCTACGAGGATGATAAAGCCTGTCAAGCGAACCAACAACTATGTCAGCATGAAATAAACCGACTCCATGAGGAAAATATGCGTCTGAACACTGTAACACGGGGGCTGGGGTATCGGCTCTAATCAACTCTACCTTCGCCCTTGCCCCTGCCCGTATTCTATTTACTTCACTTAATACCAAGGGACCCCAGAGTTACTCTATCCAAATCCCGCGCCAAGTGGTCTGAGCCGCTCGATCGACTAAGATTCTACAGCCCCTGTGACGTGGTACCTGACTTCTAACAAACTCAAGGATCTCCTTCTACCACCACCACCAGACCATTACCCAGAAGCGTCAATTCATCGGCGTCTGGACCAATTAATCGATCATTAAAACCTTGAGGCTTGATCCCCAAATTGCTCGGAGAAGAAGGGATGAATCTACGTTAAGTGTGGGAATTATAGCAAACAAAGGGGTATATGTACTCCTAAACTTTTCTTGGCTTGCAGCCAAACTAAAACTCAGACTCATGGAGACCACGTGACAAGGACATTCAACACATTATTGGAAATAATAAAATGCAGAGAACAAGCTAATTATTTATTAATGCAAAATCTAAACAACAGCTAAATGAAATATCACTCCCTATACCTTAACACTCCCTATCGAGGCTTGAAATGAACTATTTACCTATACAAAAACGTAGCAACTATACCTTGTCAATGCGACCAGCTGATGTTATACTGATCTATTTGGAGAGGTGAGGGTGGATGTCCTCTCCCGTTGTTGACCGACACCACACTTAACGTAGATTCATCCCTCCTTTTCCGAGTTATTTGGGGATAAAGCCCAAAGGTTTTAATGATCGATTAATTGGTCCAGACCCCGATTAATTGACGCTACTGGTTCATGGTGTGGTGGTAGCAGCAGAAGGAGATCCTTGAGTTTGCTAGAACTCAGGTACCACGTCACGGGGGCTGTAGAATCTTAGCCGATCGAGCGGCTAAGACCACGTGGCGCGGGATTCGGATAGAGTAACTCTGGGGTCCCTTGGTATTAAGTTGAAGTAAATAGAATACGGGCAGGGGTAAGGGCGAAGGTAGAGTCGATAAGAGCTGATTAACGTGTTACAACACCAACGATTCCATACACAAACAAGAGGTATCGCTAGACAAAATGACTATTCATCAGTACTATAACCGCCCAACAATGTATCTTCCAGGGCGAAAAAGACTGACAAAGGTGACTACACTCTTTTATTGTCTCATCTTCAGCCGTCTCTGTGGAGACCGTAGGTGAGAAGTGTATAGACATTGTAAATGATATCATAAAAGACCAAATACGTTATGAGATCAATAAAACATTGTTGCTGCTTACAGAGTAAGCAAAAAGAATCCAGCAGATAAAATCAACGAAAAATTTGCCTCAAACTAGCCACCCATTCCTTCAACCAATCTTGAGCAGTCAGCAATGTCCAGTAGACAAATGGGTTTACATCAACGAGTAAAGGCAGGAACTCCTCTTCCGTCTGGGGCAAATCCACAAACAAAACGAAGGAGTGATCCATCAGTGCTATGTTAAAGATAATATAATAAAGGTGAGGAAAAACTCCTACAGGGAAAACCTTTGTGATATCAAATGAGGATAACCTCGATATATTCCTCTCCCAATGTGGTTTATCAGACCTGACTAACCCTATCAGTGACTCATCTTAATTAACTCCCTTGTTACCCACTTGAGACTAGGTAACCTACTTTTCATTGTTACCTAGCCTCCCCATACTCTCTTGCTCCATTGTACTCTGGCCATGTCTGTGCCTGTATTGTACACTATTGTTTTCAGTGTACCTGAGTACACTGAACAATCAAAGAAATCTACCTTATTTATTCTTGTGTAATTTTAGTAATTGTTCTCTGTTTATCTTGTTCTAAACTTAGTCAATCTTTATTGAATCTTTGTTTTTACTTGTCATCTGTATTCTACTTATCTAGTTACATTGATTCTTATTTCATTTTTACAAGTTCCTATTTTATTTGCATTTCATATTATAATTATTTTAATATCAAGATTTTCTGTAATTGCTCCAATTTTCATTACTCTACTGATATGATTATTTTTTCTCTCTCTTTTCCTTGTATCAGTAATTGTACCTTAGCCATTTTACCATCAAACAGTCTTCTTATGCAACCTAGTATAGACTCAAAACTAAAGCTCTTAACAAGCATCTATGACAACCAACCATGACAACCATTTAGCAGTAAAATAGGTACCTGGTTGTTAGTCAGCTGTCACTGGTTGCTTCCTGGGGGTGGAGGCCTGGTCGAGGACCGGGCCGCGGGGACACTAAAAAGCCCCGAAATCATCTCAAGATAACCTCAAGATAACCATCATTTTAATAATCAAAATTGCAGGTATTACACAGTAAACGATGTAAACAATGTATCAACACATAATCACAATGTATCTAAAATTAACTTGAATGTAAAATCTCTAAGCAAATACTTTGATGATGTTAGTGCTCTAATTCAAACAGTTGACAACAAATTTACATTTACTATACTTACTCAAATGTTGTTGAAAAGGGATACAACACAAGTCTTAACAAAAACCAACTAATAATATCAGGGAAGGAAGGAAAGAAGGAACTATCAGGGAAAAGCGCCAAGCCATTACGACTATATAGCAATGGATGGGGTCAGGATAAGGATTTGGGAAGGGAGTCGAGGCTGACTTGAATGTGGGAGTAGTTTATAGAATTCCTAACACTGATATTGCTGAATTCAACTCTATCGTTAGAAATCAAATACTAACGGGCCAGGGGAAAGCGCCAAGCCATTACTTCCTGGGGGGTGGAGGATTAGGATACAAATATATCTGGCAATACTGGTCGAGGACCGGGCTCACGCCCACACCTTAGCGGGGACACTATGATAGACAAAAAAAAAAGCCCCGATAATCATCTCAAGATAACTTCAAGATGCTTATCTCAATAAACATACTTGAACTTGAACTTGGGTCAGGATAAGGATTTGGGATGGGAAGGAATGGTGTATGGTGTTAGGGGATTTTAATATTGGCATCTCCAAGGCTGATAACCCTAAAGTTGCTAATTTCCTCAACTGTATGAATTCCTGCTTGCTCATACTTTTAATCACTAAACCTACTAGAATTACTGAAACGATTGCATTTACTCTTAACCACATCTGGACTAACATAATCGCTCCACTTACCTCAGGAATAATCACTGATAAGACCACAGACCATTACCCCACATTTCCTCTAACCAACATTAACAAACCACCTCTAGATTCAATGAAGATAAGCTTTAGGCTGCACAGTGAAACTTCTAAAAGCAACTTTATTGCTGCTGTTTGCTGCTGATATCAACTGGGAGTCTGAAATAGGTAACATGGTGAACATCAACCCATGGCTTACTAAGGGTATTCTTAAATCTATTAATAAAAAAAATACCATAAGAAGTATAGGTTAGGGGTAATCTTCAAACAAGTTTCAAGGAGATACTCATCAATCCTGTCCAAAATAATTAGGAGAGCTAAAATAATACACTAAAGAAATATATTTAATCAAATTTAGGGCAATATTAAGAAAACATGGAGCACTATCTCCCAAATATTTTGATCAAAGAAGATCTTGAATAAGAAGCCCATACTCCGATTCAATGAGGATGGTGTGTTTTCTGCCTCTGACACTGCCACCAAATTCAATGGTTGCTTCTCATCCTTTGGGATAACATAAAACTAATCTATTTTGCTCTACGAATAATGAGCGAAACTCCTCTAAACGATACAGTGATAGTGGTGATGTGGATGGTGTACTGGGTTGTCTTGCACTGGATGTGTTGCAACCTCCGCCACGACGTGGACTCTTTACAGAGCTCGTGGACGGGCGCCGCCAAGTCCTACATCCTGGGGGAGGAATCCACCTGCAGGACTGGGTGAAAGCGGCTGTTCTGCATGCTCCCTGTCCTCGGGACAGTGTACCACATCAAGAAGCTCACCACCAGGCATCAATTGTTGTAGGATAATCACGACTTCTTTGCAACAGTCATCTGGGGCCACTCCTGCCATAAAAATGAGTTCGCCCCTTCCAGGGCGTTTATTCACTTTTCGTACCACATCCTGTACAAAATCACCCATAACTATTTATACAAGCGGCCTTCCCACAGCCTGCAGACCGTGGAGAACCCCTTCTTGCAGCCTGCAGACGGAGGACCCCTTCCTGCAGCCTGCTGACGGAGGAGTCCTCCCGCAGTCTGCTGACGGAGGAGTCCTCCCGCAGCCTGCAGACGGAGAAGGATCCATCTGGCAGGAACGTGGAGGCCTGAATAGCACCCCTGACAACGAGGTGCTGCATCCTTGAACGACGAGGTGGGGCGTGCACTCCCGCCTGGTGATGGGGATGAGGAGCTACTTCTTGCCCGTACCCAGGACTCCCAGACGCCGTGACTCTTGGACGCCATGACTCCCAGGCACTGGGATTCCCGGGCGCCGGGACACCTGGGCGCAGGGACTCCCTGGTGCCAGGACTCCCGGGTGCCGGGACACCCGGGCATTGGGACTCCCGGCCACTTTGACTACCCGGTGCCGAGACACCCGGGCGCCGGGACACCCAGTTATTTATCCAGTAAGCTATTGACTCCAATTACTCCAGGCAGCCATTAATTTGCAACTTGCCATCTTGAAAGAAGGCAACATATGATCTGAATCTCTCCCTTGCTTCTAATTAATTCGATGGTTGTCTGACACCTATGCCTCACTTAGAACTCTTCTTACTTCATTTTCTCCAGCACAACTACAAATATTTTTATTTTTCTCCATTTCAAGGTATCCCTTCTTTTCCATTGGCACATCCCTTGCAAATGATATCCCATCTTCCCTAACTAATGTTAAGGACTACATTACAGGAAACTATTCAGAGTTTCTGTACCTAACTCCCACTAATTTCTCTGATGTTAATAAGAAAATCCTTTCTCTTGAAACAAAATCAAGTGCCCTTGCTGAGATACCAACTCTAATTTACAAAAAAGCCTCTGGATTTCTAGCTCAGGCCATTGCATTGTTCTATAACTAATCACTTGAACTCCAAACCTCTCCTGATATTCAAAAAAAGTGAGAGTAACCCCAGTCCACAAATGTGATGATCTCACTGATCTCAACAATTTCAAACCTATATCAATTCTGCCAACCTTGTCTGAAATTTTGAAAAGCTAGTCTATAAGCAGCTATACTAGCTAAATACAATATACTTAGTTCTTGTCAATATGGCTTCAGAGCCAAAACAAAAAAGTACCAATGATGCACTGATTAGTATGATCAACTTAATATATGCAGCTCTTGATGAAGATGAGTTTCCTTTTGGGTTATTTGTTGACCTTAAAGGCTTTTGACACTGCTAACCACAATAACCATCCTCTTAAATGACATCATTATGGAGTCAGAAGTCACTCCCTCCACTCTTACCTTAGTGACAAGCTCCAGAATGTTTATTTGAATGATTCCAATTCTCCCACGCTACCCGTCAACATTGGTGTTCCACAGGGCAGAATAACTGGCCGTCTCCTCTTTCACATCTACCTTAATGACCTTCCAAATGCCTCTCAACATCACAAGTCAATTTTATTTGCTGATGACACAGCCTTCATTCTCTCTCCAGTTTTATTTTGAATGATACAGTGAATACTGAACCAAATAAAGTCTATCTTTGGCTAACTGCTAACAAACTCACCCTTAACATTGACTAAACCATATATATTTTATTGGGTAATAAATCCTAAGATCAAATTAATCTAAGAATTAACAATATCGAAATTAGTAAAGACGTTGGTGGTAAATTCCTTGGTGTTCTCATTGATAACAAGCTGAATTTCTAGGGCCACATTGAAAATGTTGCACAAAATAAGTTTCTAAAACAGTTGACATTCTTTCTAAACTCAAATACTATGTACCTCGCCTTGCTCTGTTAATGGTCTATTACTTTCTTATCTATCCTTGTTTCAGTTATGGTATCTGTGCTTGGGGTTCTACTACCCAAAATTACCTACGTCCTCTAATTATTCAGCACAAATCTACTATTAAAGCAATAACAAACTCTAGCCCCAGACAGCACTCGGCCCCCTTACTTAAATCTTTGAATAAGTTAGATATTAAGTCACTGCACATCCTCTCAAGTTTACTCTATATATTTAAAACGCTGAACAGTAATACCAATCCTGATTTAAAATGCTTCCAAGAAGGTTGTATCAGATGCCATGTGCACCACAATAGAAAAAGGTACAAGAGGAGTGTTATCATCGCTTACGTCGAACGTGCTCTCAGCCACAGCTCAGGATGGAAGCAAGTCGATGAAGAACTCTGTAGGGTAAGGCAGGTCCTAGTCAACAACAGCTTCTCTAATGGTTTTGTTAAAGACATCATAAAAAGAGAGCAAAATGTCATGCAACCTCTGAATAGTCAACTAACACATGTACCCCCAATTAGACTATTTTACCGGAACTTCTTTTCGACAGCTCATAAAACGGAGAAAAGGGTCCTGAAAGATATTGTTGATAGGAACCTTATCCCAACAGACAAAAATCAGAAAATACAATTGACGATTTACTATAAAACCAAAAAAAGGGCCAAACTACTCATGAAAAACTCTCCAGACACAAAGCAGAACGCCTTGAAGGAAACCAACGTCGTCTATGCCTTCAAATGCCCACTTGGGGACTGTAAGCTCCAAAGAACTCAGTATATAGAAAAGACAACAACGTCTTTTTCCAGGCGATTAACAATGCATAAACAACAGGGCTCCATAAAGGAATATATAATCTCCTCTCACAACCAGACCATCACCAGAGAAATCTTAACAAACAACACAGAAATCATCGATAGATACAGCGATAGCAGGAGGCTCGACATCTGCGAGGCAATACACGTCAAAAAGTCTACACCAGCAATCAATAGCCAATTAATGCACAACTATATTCTACACACAATAAAACTCTGAACCAATATAGAAGCAACAAGAGGCAGTATGGGCCAATAGGGCCTCTGCAGTTACTTCCATTCTTATGTTCTCATATCCAATTAATACCCATAGTTTCGTGTTTTGTCTCGTGTTTGTCACAAGTTTGTTCACCTTACCCAGAAGTGATGTACCATATCACCTCACCCAAATGCGAGTATAAGTATGACAGATTAGCGTGTTTACAGGTTACAGTTGTGTGTGTAAACTAAAGTCTTTGAAAATGTAATAAGTTATTACAAAAGCGCGTTTAGGCGTCGCGTCAAACTAGAAATAAATATGAATTTTAAAACAATAAAAAGAAACATAAGAAATATTAAGAAAATTCGTGTTAGAATTATTAATCTTACCTTTTCGGTCATATTTAACAACATATGTTTACAAGAAAGATATATATATATATATATATATATATATATATATATATATATATATATATATATATATATATATATATATATACCAGAAGTATATATATATATATACGATATATATATATATATATATATATATATATATATATATATATATATATATATATATATATATATATATATAACTGAAAACTCACACCCCAGAAGTGACTCGAACCCATGCTCCCAGGAGCAACGCAACTGGTATGTACAGGGACGCCTTAATCCGCTTGACCATCACGACCGGACATAAGGAAGTGATAGCCGAAGCTATTTGAACCACTTCCCCGCCGGCACTCGGATGGTAATCGTGGGCATAGCATTTTATCAAATCACCTCATTATTTGTGTTCCTCACATGTGCCCCAAAGAATGAGGTGATTTGATAAAATGCTATGCCCAAGATTACCATGCGAGTGCCGGCGGGGAAGTGGTTCAAATAGCTTCGGCTATCACCTCCTTTTGTCCGGTCGTGATGGTCAAGCGGATTAAGGCGTCCTGTACATACCAGTTGCGTTGCTCCTGGGAGTATGGGTTCGAGTCACTTCTGGGGTGTGAGTTTTCAGTTGTATATAGTCCTGGGGACCATTCAGGCTTGTTTGCATATATATATATATATATATATATATATATATATATATATATATATATATATATATATATATATATATATATATATATATATATATGTCGTACCTAGTAGCCAGAACGCACTTCTCAGCCTACTATGCAAGGCCCGATTTGCCTAATAAGCCAAGTTTTCCTGAATTAATATATTTTCTCTATTTTTTTTCTTATGAAATGATAAAGCTACCCATTTCATTATGTATGAGGTCCATTTTTTTTTTATTGGAGTTAAAATTAACGTAGATATATGACCGAACCTAACCAACCCTACCTAACCTAACCTACCCCATCTTTATAGCTTAGATTAGGTTAGGTAGCCGAAAAAGTTAGGTTAGGTTAGGTAGGTTAGGTAGTCGAAAAACAATTAATTCATGAAAACTTGGCTTATTAGGCAAATTGGGCCTTGCATAGTAGGCCTAGAAGTGCGTTCTGGCTACTAGGTACGACATATATATATATATATATATATATATATATATATATATATATATATATATATATATATATATATATATATATATATATATATATATATGTCGTACCTAGTAGCCAGAACTCACTTCTCAGCCTACTATGCGAGGCCCGATTTGCCTAATAAGCCAAGTTTTACTGAATTAATATATTTTCTCTAATTTTTGTCTTATGAAATGATAAAGCTACCCATTTCATTATGTATGAGGTCAATTTTTTTTTATTGGAGTTAAAATTAACGTAGATATATGACCGAACCTAACCAACCCTACCTAACCTAACCTAACCTATCTTTATAGGATAGGTTAGGTTAGGTAGCCGAAAACGTTAGGTTAGGTTAGGTTAGGTAGGTTAGGTTGTCGAAAAAACATTAATTCATGAAAACTAGACTTATTAGGCAAATCGGGCCTTGCATAGTAGGCTGAGAAGTGAGTTCTGGCTACTAGGTACGACATATATATATATATATATATATATATATATATATATATATATATATATATATATATATATATATATATATATATATATATATATATATATATGTCGTACCTAGTAGCTAGAACGCACTTCTCAGCCTACTACGCAAGGCCCAGTTTGCCTAATAAGCCAAGTTTTCATGAATTATTTTTTTTTCGACTACCTAACCTACCTAACCTAACCTAACCTAACTTTTTCGGCTACCTAACCTAACCTAACCTATAAAGATAGGTTAGGTTAGGTTAGGTAGGGTTGGTTAGGTTCGGTCATATATCTACATTAATTTTAACTCCAATAAAAAAAAATTGACCTCATACATAATTAAATGGGTAGCTTTATCATTTCATAAGAAAGAAATTAGAGAAAATATATTAATTCAGGAAAACTTGGATTATTAGGCAAATCGGGCCTTGCATAGTAGGCTGAGAAGTGCGTTCTGGCTACTAGGTACGACATATATATATATATATATATATGTATATATAATATATATATATATGTCGTACCTAGTAGCCAGAACTCACTTCTCAGCCTACTATTCAAGGCCCGATTTGCCTAATAAGCCAAGTTTTCCTGAATTAATATATTTACAATAATTTTTTTCTTATGAAATGATAAAGCAACCCTTTTCTCTATGTATGAGGTCAATTTTTTTTTATTGGAGTTAAAATTAACGTAGATATATGACCGAACCTAACCAACCCTACCTAACCTAACCTAACCTATATTTATAGGTAAGGTTAGGTTAGGTAGCCAAAAAAAGCTAGGTTAGGTTAGGTTAGGTAGGTTAGGTAGACGAAAAAAGATTAATTCATGAAAACTTGGCTTATTAGGCAAATCGGGCCTTGAATAGTAGGCTGAGAAGTGCGTTCTGGCTATTAGGTACGACATATATATATATATATATATATATATATATATATATATATATATATATATATATATATATATATATATATATATATATATATATATATATATATATATATATATATATATATATATATATATATATATATGTCGTACCTAGTAGCCAGAACGCACTTCTCAGCCTACTATGCAAGGCCAGATTTGCCTAATAAGCCAAGTTTTCCTGAATTAATATATTTTTTCTAATTTTTTTCTTATGAAATGATAAAGCTACCCATTTCATTATGTATGAGGTCAATTTTTTGTTATTGGAGTTAAAATTAACGTAGAAATATGACCAAACCTAACCAACCCTACCTAACCTAACCTAACCTATCTTCATAGGCTAGGTTAGGTTAGGTAGCCGAAAAAGTTAGGTTAGGTTAGGTTAGGTAGGTTAGGTTGTCGAAAAACAATTAATTCATGAAAACTTGGCTTATTAGGCAAATCGGGCCTTGCATAGTAGGCTGAGAAGTGCATTCTGGCTACTAGGTACGACATATATATATATATATATATATATATATATATATATATATATATATATATATATATATATATATATATATATATATATATATATATATATATATATATACATATATATACATATAAGCATATACGAGGATATGATCACCATGCATTACCTTCCCATCCTGTATTATATTATTGACGACATGTTTGCTATGAACATCTGCTCTCTGGTCTTTCTTGGTATCTAATCGTGAGGCTGTGTATGGAGATCGTGAGGCTGTGTATGGAGGTCGTGAGGCTGTGTATGGAGGTCGTGAGGCTGTGTATGGAGGTCGTGAGGCTGTGTATGGAGATCGTGAGGCTGTGTATGGAGATTGTGTGGCTGTGTATGAAGTTCATGTATCTTCCATACATATTAAAGTAAATGAGGTACGCGGCTGTGCCCGGATCTCTCTCTCTTCTCTCCCCCTCCTTTCTTCCAATCTACCGCCTCTTCTTCCTCCCTCATCTCTTTCCCTATTCCCCACGCTCCTCATCTCAAATATATCTCCCCTATCCCCATCTCTTTCCCTTCCCCACATGTTTTCCTTTCTCTTCCCCTCGCTACCTTTCTCACTCCCAACGTTCACCTTCTCCCTATCCCTTCATCCAAATCTAACGACCTCTCCCTCCCCCCCTTCCTCTCCAACTTCTCTCCCAATCTTCCCCCTATCCATCTTTCTCCCCCATTTTCGTATCATCCTCCCCTTCCCATCTATACCCTTCTTCTCTTTTCTAACATTCCCTCACTCCCCCTTTCATCTCTTCTCCTTCCCCCAAACTTTCCACTCTCTTCATCCAATCTCCCTCTTTACTTCCTCTTTCCAACACTCATAAAAATTTTATCTTTAAAATAAACAGCGTAAGGATCGCTTTATCTAATTTGAATAATTAATTACATACAACTACTTTTTTTCTCAATATTTTACCCCAACGTTCTCAAAATATAGACTGGATGGCATCTCTTTCATGGCGTCCGGCAATGCACAATATCAAGTCTCCATTACGGATCACATCATTTCTACACAAAGCCACATCAGCACCAAAGATATCCTGACATTACATAGTCTTACTGTGATCTGTGTCATAGTCAATTGCTGCATTTTTTTTTTAATTACAAATAAGGTATTTACATAATTTACCTTTATATAATCATTAAATATTGTTGGTTGAATATCATTAGGAAGACATTTGGTGTTAATGGTCAATTTACATTTATAAATGCAATGCAATATATACAAAAATATATGGAATGTCAAGCAACGAAGAGAAAATTGTCTTATGTTGCTATATAGGAACTGGTACGTGAAAATGCTCTGAGGATGTCTACTGCTTGACAGTCATTATATATATTGACGCACTATAATTTTTATTATACATTTCTAAAGTGAGCTGAGAGTCAGCTTGGTATACATACAATCCGGTAAACAGCCGGGTAAATGCTTCTGTTGGCCAGAGTAATGACAGGAGTTTATTGTTAATGTTATTACCCTTAAGGGATTCATTGTTAGCTTTGCGGTGTCAAGTAACCCAAGATATTGTTCCTAAACGTCCAGAGGAAGATTCTCTAATGATTTCGAGATTTCAATGTTTTCAAAATTGTAAATATCTGATCAGTATACATATACTGTATAATGCGGTGGATTTTCTCTTCAGCATTTATTAAAAGAAAATCATTACTATTTGGAATGTAAATGTTCTTCAATATGTTCATGACCCATATTCAGACGATGAGTCACAATAACGCGGCTGAAGAAATGATGACCAAACCACAACTCAGAAGATGGAGTTTCGAAGACGACGTTTCGACACGACTTGATAATAGTCCAGGACGGACCGAAACGTCGTCGGTTCTCCATCTTCTGAGTTGTTGTCTGGTCATCATTTCTTCAGCCGCGTTATTGTGACTCAACGCCTACATAACCTTCTTGGACATCTTAAAGAACATTTACATTCCAAATAGCAATGTTTTTTTTTTTAATAAATACTGAAGAGAAAATCCACCGCATTATGCAGTATAGGTATACTGATCAGATATTTTCAATATTCGACAAATTGTATTTAAACTATATATTACTTAAGGTGCAGTTCAATCGTTTTTCAACGCACTTATATAGACTCAAAAACAGATAATTACTTTTTTCAATTTAGAGAGAACGTATTTTAAATGAAGTTTCAGAAGAAAAATAACTATGACAGTGACTATATACATTTTTACTATGTGAAGTTGAGAATTAATGCTTCTGGTTAATACATAAAACCAACTCGTCCTTACAATAATTATAAAAAGTGAAGAATTATATTATAATTATAAAAAGTAAAAAGATACAAATTGAATCCCATTCACTGGAAAAAAATACATTATTAGAGTATATTTTCTGTGACAAATGCCATTCGATTTCCTTAGACTAGGTGAGACGGTATTGGATCCTAAAATCGCTTCTGTTTAGTAAGCGTAGATAAATTGGACTCCCTTCGCATCGTGACAACGGCCTGAATAACCAATGAGGGTTTAGGCGAGGGGTGCGCCTTGTGCACCATGTGTCACGGAACCCAACACCTGCCGATTAATGCAACGAGCCTTCATATGCATGTCCTGATCTGGTATAAAAGACTTTTCCGAGCTACCTACGGTGTTAGTGCATCTAGTCCCTGGCAGGTCAGCGGACGTTCTGGGACTGTGCTCCAAGCCCCTGTTGCTGCTACACGTCGGTGTAGTCCCCTGCAGCAGTGGCAGTAGAGACAGTAGCAGCCCACTCCTGCAGTCCCAGCTGTACGCCACCAACATGAAGACCTTCATTTTAGCTGCTTTGGTCTTCTGTATTTTCCTCCTGGCACAGGTACGGGCAATCTCTTACGTGCAGCCCAAGTAAGCGCTGTTCTATGCACCCACTTAAACTTTACACTTAAGAGGATAACAGTGTTTACATGACCACAAAAATGGACATTGATGACAACTATTTATTATACTACCATCATGGGCAATGAACAAATCATATATACAATTTTACTGCAGTGGTATAAATAATTAGAACCAACAATAGGTTATATTTTCGCAAACTTTATACAACTTAGGAATCTATACTCAGTTTTTGCAATAATTATGCAGTTCCGAAAATTTATATCATCTGTCCATTTGCTGGGTATTTTCCTCTCTTATTTCTCTCTCTAGTGGAAGTCCAATCACTTAGGCTGGACGGTAGAGCGACGGGGTCGTTTCAAGCAGTTTGACGTTCTATTCCCGACCGTCCAATCACCGTCCCATACCAAATCCTTAATTCTGACCCCAACCAAATGCTATATAGTCGTAATTGCTTGGCGCTTTCCCATGATAATACCCTCCCGCTCTCTGTAATGGAAGCTCTTCAAATATTTGTTTATCTAAATAGTGTTCATAAGTTAAAATGAGTCTAATACATATACATTTCTTAGCATTTAATGAACTCTAAAATATGTTCTGACTCTTCTAATTTAACTAAAACTTTTTTGTACGATGACACAATGACGATAATACACACTTTTTTTTTGCCAACAGTTTTATTTGTTGGTGTGTGTTACAAATGGTTCTCACTGTATGTGTTTTATAACGTTACCATAGAGCTTCTTATCTTTTATCCTCTCAAGTTATTTCCTTGTGGTGATAAAACACCAACGTGGGTAGTTCAGTAGAGTTGGCAACGCGTATTTGCCATATATATATATATATATATATAAATATATATATATATATATATATATATATATATATATATATATATATATATATATATATATATATATATATATATATATATATATATATATATATATATATATATATATATATATATACACATATATATATATATATATATATATATATATATATATATATATATATATATATATATATATATATATATATATATATATATATATATATATATATATATATATATATACATATATATATATATATATATATATATATATATATATATATATATATATATATATATATATATATATATATATATATATATATATATATATATATATATGTCGTACCTAGTAGCCAGAACGCACTTTTCAGCCTACTATGCAAGGCCCGATTTGCCTAATAAGCTAAGTTTTCATGAATTAATATATTTTCTCAATTTTTTTTCTTATGAAATGATAAAGCTACCCATTTCATTATGTATGAGGTCAATTTTTTTTTATTGGAGTTAAAATTAACATAGATATATGACCGAACCTAACCAACCCTACCTAACCTAACCTAACTTATCTTTATAGGTTAGGTTAGGTTAGGTAGCCGAAAAAGTTAGGTTAGGTTAGGTTAGGTAGGTTAGGTAGTCGAAAAACAATTAATTCATGAAAACTTGGCTTATTAGGCAAATCGGGCCTTGCATAGTAGGCTGAGAAGTGCGTTCTGGCTATTAGGTACGACATATATATATATATATATATATATATATATATATATATATATATATATATATATATATATATATATATATATATATATATATATATATATATATATATATATATATATATATATATATATATATATATATATATATATATATATATATATATATATAATATATATATCGCTGTATCTATAATAAATCGATAATGTATCGATATATTATCGCTGTATCTATACAGCGATAATATATCTGTATCTGTATCTATATAGATATCGCTGTATCTATAATATATCTATAATGCATCAATAATTTCTGTGTTGTTTACTAGGATTTCTCTTGCGATGGTTTGGTTGTGGGAAGAGATTATATGTTCCTTAATGGAGCCCTGTTGCTTATGCATCGTTAAACGCCTAGAAAGAGATGTTGTTGTCTTGCCTATATACTGGGTTTTTTGGAGCTTACAGTCCCCAAGAGAGCATTTGAAGGCATAGACGACGTTAGTCTCTTTTAAAGCGTTCTGTTTTGTGTCTGGAGAGTTTCTCATGAGTAGGCTGGCCGTTTTTCTGGTTTTATAGTAAATCGTCAGTTGTATCCTCTGGTTTTTGTCTGTAGGGATAACGTTTCTATTAACAATATCTTTCAGGACCCTTTCCTCCGTTTTATGAGCTGTGGAAAAGAAGTTCCTGTAAAATAGTCTAATAGGGGGTATAGGTGTTGTGTTGGTTGTCTCTTCAGAGGTTGCATGGCGTTTCACTTTCCTTCTTATGATGTCTTCGACGAAACCATTGGAGAAGCCGTTGTTGACTAGGACCTGCCTTACCCTACAGAGTTCTTCGTCGACTTGCTTCCATTCTGAGCTGTGGCTGAGAGCACGGTCGACATATGCGTTAACAACACTCCTCTTGTACCTATCTGGGCAGTCGCTTTTGGCATTTAGGCACATTCCTATGTTCGTTTCCTTAGTGTAGACTGCAGTGTGGAAACCTCCGCTCTTTTCCATGACTGTTAGATCTAGAAAGGGCAGCTTCCCATCCTTTTCCATCTCGTAAGTGAAACGCAGTACCTTTTGTGTTCTGGCTTGTGTTGATGAAATTAATACCTTATTAAATACCACCTCACTCAAATGTAGATATAAACAAAATCGGAGATGTGTAAGTTCTATTCAGTTGTGTATGTGTTAACTAAAGTCTTTGAAAATGTAATAAGTTTTACGAAACGCGCTCAAGTGTCGCGTCAGACTAGAAATAAAAATTAATTTTGGAGAATTGATTTTGAATTACCTCCAACAGTGAAAAGAAATGTACGAAAGATTGAGAAAATTCGTGTTAGAATTATTAATCTTACTTTTTCGGTCATATTTAATAATATATGTCTACAGGAAGGACTGCTACCAAAATATATTATATATATATAGTTATCTATATATATATAAATCTATATATATATATATATATATCGATATATATAATATATATATATATATATATATATATAGATATATATATATATATAAATGTTCCGTAACCTAGTAGCCAGAACGCACTTCTCAGCCTACTATGCAAGGCCCGATTTGCCTAATAAGCCAAGTTTTCATGAATTATTGTGTTTTCGACTAATTTTTCTTTTATGAAATGATAAAGCTCCCCATTTCATTATGTATGAGGTCAATTTTTTTTATTGGAGTTAAAATTAACGTAGACTACCTAACCTCACCTAACCTAACTTTTTTGGTTACCTAACCTAACCTAACCTATAAAGATAGGTTAGGTTAGGTTAGGTTAGGTAGGGTTGGTTAGGTTCGGTCATATATCTATGTTAATTTTAACTCACAATAAAAAAAAAATTAACCTGATACATAATGAAATGGGTAGCTTTAATCATTTCATAAGAAAAACAAATGAGAAATATATTAATTCAGGAAAACTTGGCTTATTAGGCAAATTAAGCCTTGCATAGTAGGCTGAGAAGTGCGTTCTGGCTACTAGGTACGACATATATATATACATATATATATATATAATATATAATATATATATATATATATATATATATATATATACATATATATATATAATATATATATATATACATACATATATATATATATATAATATATATATATATATATATATATATATATATATACACATATACTTGGTAATCTTGGGCATAGCATTTTACCAAATCACCCTCATTCTTTGGGGCACCGTGAGGAACACAAATTCGAACAAGCCTGAATGGTCCCCAGGACAATATGCAACTGAAAACTCAATGGTAAAAATAAATGCTTGGTAAAATGCTATGTCCAAGATTACCATCCGAGTGCCAGCGGTGGGGTGGTTCAAATAGCTTCGGCTATCACCTCATTTTGTCCGGTCGTGATGATCAAGTGGATTAAGGCGTCTTGTACATACCAGTTGCGTTGCTCCTGGGAGTATGGGGTTCGAGTCACTTCTGGGGTGTGAGAGTTTCAGTTGCATATTGTCCTGGGGACCATTCAGGCTTGTTCGCATTTGTGTTCCTCACGTGTGCCCCAAAGAATGAGGTGATTTGGTAAAATACTATGCCCAAGATTACCATCCGAGTGCCGGCGGTGGGGTGGTTCAAATAGCTTCGGCTATCACCTCATTTTGTCCGGTCTTGATGGTCAAGTGGATTAAGGCTTCTTGTACATACCAGTTGCGTTGCTCCTGGGAGTATGGGTTCGAGTCACTTCTGGGGTGTGAGTTTTCAGTTGCATATTGTCCTGGGGACCATTCAGGCTTGTTCGCATATATATATATATATATATATATATATATATATATATATATATATATATATATATATATATATATATATATATATATATATATATTTGTTTGTGTCGTACCTAGTAGCCAGAACGCACTTGTCAGCCTACTATGCATGGTCCGATTTGCCTAATAAGCCAAGTTTTCATGAATTAATTGTTTTTCGACTACCTAACCTACCTAACCTAACCTAACTTTTTCGGCTACCAAACCTATAAAGATAGGTTTGGTTAGGTTAGGTAGGGATGGTTAGGTTCGGTCATATATCTACGTTAATTTTAACTCTAATAAAAACAAATTGACCTCATACATAATGAAATGGGTAGCTTTATCATTTCATAAGAAAAAAATTTGAGAAAAAATATTATTTCAGGAAAACTTGGCTTATTAGGCAAATCGGACCTTGCATAGTAGGCTGACAAGTGCGTTCTGGCTACTAGGTACGACATATGTGTATATATATATATATATATATATATATATATATATATATATATATATATATATATATATATATATATATTAACCTAGAAGGGGTACCATCTCTGGTGCAAGTGTAGGGACCCATAGCCTCGGAGAAGGGAATAAAGAGTACTCAGAGAAGACCTTGTGGATCCTCACTGAACACTTTGATATTTTCTTCTCCTACTACCCCCTGTTCTCATAGTATGTGTGTATATATATAACTAACTTTATTTGAAAATTTCATTACACAAAAAGGGATACAACATTGGTTAGATGCAGGGTATAAGGCTACTTGTCATAAGTTGTATAGGTCCTCCAGCCCCTCAGATGGCGGGCGGGAACCATGGATGCAGTGAGAATTTCCTGTCTGGATCGCCACACAAAGGCGCTGAAAGAGAAAACTGGCAGATCTAGGGTCTCTAGTTGTTTCAATTAGCTTGGACCCCAACTGCTTCAAAAACCTAGCAGCACTTTTACCCCAGGCACCAAGTGTCTCTGAGGCAATGGAGACAAAATTGTAGTAGTGCTCAAGGTCTCTGTATTTACGTGACTTGGCTGCTTCCTGGTGATTGGCTGCACCTCCTGCCTGTAAAGCACTGAAGTCAACATAGATATTGGCTAAAGTTGAAACGCAAGTTTAGTCCCCCACGAACTGTCTACCATTCTTCCAGGGGTTCACCGTGATCCCGTCTGGGCGACTGACAGGCTCATCAGAGTTGCGGGGCATTAGGTAACGGGGCTCTCTCTCTGCTGGACAACCAGCTGTGGTAAGGTTTCTTTTAATAATGTCGTTAACCTCGCCGTGTCCTGCATGCCATCTTCCTGTCCTTTGGCAGAGAAGGCCATGCCGTCCATACCTGTCCGTATACAGAGAAAAAACAAAAGAAGAAATCAAGAAAAAAAATAAAGTCAAAACAAAAAAAACGTAAGACAGGAGGCCGTCTTACAGAAAAGAAAACAAAACAGAAAATAAAACATTGAAAACAAACTCAAAGAAAACAAGATCCCAAAAATGAAAGAAAGAGGCCAGCGTCAAATAAACAAAAGAATATGATGAATGGGAAAAGAGCAAAGAAATTTAAAGGCATAAAAGTAAAGGGGGATAAATACAAAAAGAAGCAAAAAAAAAAATATATATATATATATATATATATATATATATATATATATATATATATATATATATATATATATATATATATATATATATATATATATATATATATATATATATATATATATATACACATAAAATATGTTTTGTTTTGTTCAAAGTATTTCACTCTGCAGGAACAGGTGCATGGAGAAAGAAATGTAGCAAATCGTCAGGAGGTAAATGATCAAGACCTGCTGACTCAGAGAAGAGGAAACACTGGTATTGACAAACATGGCGGGAAAAGAGTTGGTCACGGCAGAATTGAAGAAGTAGGAACAGGTCGCCGAGACAAGAATGGAGGAAAACCTGTTCCTTCCAGGAAAAAAGAAGCTAAAAATTATAGGAAGTCGTTAAAACATCGAAATAAAAAACAGAAAAAGGGTTTTCGAACCCAGAATGGACGAAAGCGCCATGATGGGCAGAAGAGGAAAAGTTCTATCAAAAGGAATGGAGAAAAACGTCGAGGGAGCAAGAAAGGCATAAAGAATAGTGTAGATCAACCCATCAAAAGTAAGAAAAAAACTAGTCGCACCAAGAGCGAAAAGAAAGATCGCGGAGGCAAGAATAAGGATAAACTCCAACGTGGCAAACAACGGCGGCTGAAGAAGAAGAAAGATGGTCGCGTCAAGACTGGTAAAAAGGTTTTCACTGTCAAGAAGGCTGCTAAGGGACGTGACAAGACTGATAAAGAAGTTCCCACTGCCAAAAAGATCGTTAAGGGACGTAAAGTCACTACAGAGAAAAAACAAAAGAAGAAGTCAAGAAAAAAATTAAAAGAGTCCAAACACAAAAACCGTAAGACAGGCGGCCGTAAACAGAAAAAAAATAAAAAAACAATGAAAACAAACTCAAAGAAAACAAGACACCAAAAAAATCAGAAAGGGAGGCCAGCGTCAAATAAACAAAAGAATATGATGAATGGGAAGAGAGCAAAAAAAGTTAAAGGAATAAAAGGAAAGGGGGATAAATACAAAAAGAAGCAAAAAAAAAATAACAAGATCCAAATGAAAAGTAACAAAAAAACTAAGAAAAACCTTAAAAAAATAAATAAGGACAAACGCAAGAAACACAAAAATACCAAGAAGAATAAAACCAAAGTTAAAAACAGCAGGAACTCTAATAAAAACAATAAAAAGCCCAAGAAAAGTAAAGCCAAGGCAGGTAAGAAAGGTGACGAGCCGGCAGTAAAGGAGGAAGGGAAGCAGTCTGACGGGAGGAAAGCTTATCCAGCTTCGGGTGAGAGTCATGGTGGCGATATTGACTCTAAAATAAAGTGCAAACCTCACAAAAAGTGTACTCAAGCCGGCGGGAAGTGCCAGAAGAAAAAGACCTGCAAGACCAAAGTTGCCGGTGTCAAGTGCAAGGGGAAGTCGTGCGAGTGTTGCCTCTCATGTAAGTGTCTATTTGTTTTCAATGTTTGTTTGCTCATTTTGTTGGAATAGAAGGAGCAGGAAGTTATTAGCATGATTGTTGCTAATAACAATAAAACGTTTGCCTCAACATTTTGTGCCTGGTGTATCAATCCGTCTATCCATCTTCTTTCTACTATATGTGGGATAGTAATAGTATCTCGCCACGATGATATTACTATTTAAATTAGTAACTTTGGATTAGAGATGTCAACTTTTTCTGCATGTCTTAACTATTACTCTAGTACTTGAAGGTCCAGGTTGTTCAAGAATTATTTGTTGTAAGTTTACTTTACTTGCACAGTTACATATGATGACTGATGGCAGTTCTATGGATAGATACAAAACCTGCTCAAAAATATATTTTATGTCTGTGACTAGAATATCTTTGAAAAATACATCGGTCACAAAGTAGATATATTAGAGGCAATTTAGGTTAAGTGACAAAATACGAAACATAAATATTGAAACCAAATTTTTTAGTAGATAATTATAATGTCCCATTTGCTGGACTCTCAATTATAGTAATTAGTTGTGAATGCATTTGATGTATGAAGTTGTTTGTCATCACTACCACCATTTCTCCTTCCGGAAGTCACGTACTGAGCGAGACTCGACTCTAGTATTGTCTGATTCAGGTCTCTTAAACTCTCCTCTGAGCTCAGCGCTCTTACTCCTGACAACAATGTTGTAGTAAAGTACTCTGGACTTTCTCCAGCAGTTTATTGTGCTCGTAGAGACGAGCTGACCCCGAGCTGAATATTGTAGAGCCGGTCATTCATTTGCTTCCGCTCTACTTGTCACTGTTGATGCTTTCTGTTTGATCTTTATAATTGTTCTTGTTGCTACTAATTCCCTCTTATGTTTGTCTTTTTTACAACAACAGACTTTTTATGTTGTTCTTACCGTATGCTTTTCTGGACCGCCTGCTGTTTACTGGGGATCTGTTTAGGCCCATTACTATTTATCCTCGAATCCTCTGCTGATACTGTGATGTAGTATTGTGCATTGGCCACCTCTATCACAGGGTATTTACTCAAAACACATCTGCAAATGTAGTTACGATTCTATTAGCTTTCTCAGACAATGATCTTTTATATTAAAGTGCTGAATATCTATGAGCGGGTTCATATGGAGTAGAGAGACTATGAATTGATAGTCTGGCATAATGTCCAATTCTCTTGTTATAACTGCCATCACTTTATATATGTACTGCAATTGTATGTGGTTATTCACGTGATGCTCCGATTCTTAGAAAATTGTTTAGCTCTAGAGAAAACAATAACAATATATTTAAAGACAGTGATTAAATTCATATGAAATTCCATACTGAGATGGAAAAATAATTATATTATTTTAGTATTAGAGTGCATAAATCTGTAATAATTATCTTCAAAACAGCTTGTGCAGTTAAACCCAAAAAGAAGTGTAAGAAATACAAGGGGGTGTGCAAGAAGAAGTGCGGGTCGACTGAGCGCCAGATAGCCAAGGGCTGCTCCAAGAAGAAGTGCGTCTGCTGTGCCAAGCCTTGCAAGCCATTGAGCGCCTGCAATGTTCTCGGTGGTTACTGTGTTGACAATAAGAAACTCTGCACGGGAATGATAAACAAAAAGGGCTGCAAGGGAACCAAGTGTCTCTGTTGTTACGCAGGTAAGACATTCATTACACTCTCTTAAGCACATACGTGTACATTTAGGAACGAATTTACATTAAATATTTACTCCTCATAGCTGTTGTTAGGCATCTAGACCTAAGTAACTGGTATTAACCTCAAGAGTATCCTTAGAAGGCGAAGCTCAACTGTCAGGGTTTCGGTCGCTTCTGAAAGTACTCTCAAAGGTACTGTTTTTACAGCACTTATTTGATTTTGGTAGGATCAGTAACGCTGGTATATATATATATTCCAATAGTAGCTATTTTATAGACAACGAAGGTAACCAAATTTCAGATCTAAAGCTACAAGTTTTGCTATTTCATCAAAGTTCTTGATTATATATGTGTGTGTGTTTGTGTGTATTTACTCTTTGTGCCTGCTGAATCGAGCTATTAGCTCTTGGACCCCGCCTTTCTAACCAATTTAGTTTTCCTCTGTAATCGCTACTACATATATTTCTCTCTAACACACGCACGCACACATACACTTTCCCAGAAAGCAGCCCACAGCAGTTCTCTAAATCTCAGGTACCTATTTACTGCTTGGTGAAAAGACGCATCTGGGTGAAAAAAAACTCTGCCCATATCTGTCCTGAGATGTGTGTGTGTGAGAGTGTGTGTATTTATCTTGTTGTACTCACATAGATTTGCTTGCGGGTGTTGAGTTCTGCCACTTTGGTCCCGCCTCTCAACTGTCAATTAACTGGTGTACAGGTTCCTGAGTCTATTGGGCCCTATCATATCTACACTTGAAAATGTGTATGGAGTCTGTCTCTACCATATCACTTCCTAAAGCATTCCTTTTGTCAACTATTCTGTCACTAAAAATATTGTTTCTAATGTCTCTAATGATCATTTGGGCACTCAATTTCCACCTGTGGTAAATAATCTATTTTTATCTAACCTATCAGTTCCCTTGAGAATCTTGTATGTTGTGATCATATTTCCCCGAACTCTTCCTTCTTCCAGCGACGTGAGGTTTAATTCCCGTAATTTCTCCTCGTAGCTCATGCCCTTCACTTCGGGGATTACTCTGGTGGCAAACCTTTGAACCTTCTCCAGTTTAGTTTTATGATTGATTAGACATGAACTCCTTGCTAGAACTGCATACTCCAGGATTGGTCTGACATATGTATGTGTGTGTACTCACCTAGTTGTGCTTGCGGGGGTTGAGCTTCTCGGCTCTTTGGTCCCGCCTCTCAACCGTCAATCAATCATCAACTGTTACTAACTACTATTTTTTTTCCTCCACACACACACACACACACACACACACACACACACACACACACACACACACACACACACACACACACACACACACACACACACACACACACACACACACACACACACACACACACACACACACACACACACACACACACACACACACACACACACACACACACACACACACACACACACACACACACACACACACACACACACACACACACACACACACACACACACACACACACACACACACACACACACACACACACACACACACACACACACACACACACACACACACACACACACACACACACACACACACACACACACACACACACACACACACACACACACACACACACACACACACACACACACACACACACACACACACACACACACACACACACCTCAGAGATAAGTTTGTACAAGATATGATGGACTATGTTACCCAAAAGTGTCGGGAGGCAGTAAACAGGTTCATCCCGGCCCAAAGGGAAAAATCCGAGAAGCAACAGAAGAATCCATGGTATAATAGGGCATGTATGGAAGCAAAGAAACTGAACAAAAGGGCGTGGAGGAACTTCCGGAAAAACAGAACACCAGAAAGAAGAGAGAGATACCAGAGAACCAGGAATGAGTATGTCAGGGTGAGAAGAGAAGCAGAGAAAAGTTATGAAAATGATATAGCAAACAAAGCCAAGACCGAAATAAAGTTACTCCACAGTCACATCGGAAGGAAAACAACAGTGAAAGAACAGGTTTTGAAACTTAGAACAGGCGAGGACAGGTATACAGAGAATGACAAAGAGGTGTGTGAAGAACTCAACAAGAGGTTACAGGAGGTCTTCACAATAGAACAAGGGGAGTTCACTGTGCTAGGAGAAAGGGAGGTAAACCAGGCGGCCTTGGAAGAGTTTGAAATTACGAGAGAGGTCAAGAGACACCTGCTGGATCTGGATGTTAGAAAGGCTGTTGGTCCAGACGGGATCTCGCCATGGTTACTGAAAGAGTGTGCAGAAGCACTTTGCTTGCCACTCTCCATAGTGTATAGTAAGTCAATGGATACTGGAGACCTACCAGAAATATGGAAGACGGCGAATGTGGTCCCAATATACAAAAAGGGCGACAGGCAAGAGGCACTGAACTACAGGCCAGTGTCCTTGACTTGTATACCATGTAAGGTGATGGAGAAGATCGAGAAAAAACCTGGTAACACATCTGTAGAGAAGGGACTTCGTGACAAATCGCCAACATGGATTCAGGGAGGGTAAATCTTGCCTGACTGGCTTAATAGAATTCAACGACCAGGTGACAAAGATTAAGCAAGAAAGAGAAGGCTGGGCGGACTGTATTTTCTTAGATTGTCGGAAAGCCTTTGACACAGTACCGCATAAGAGGCTGGAACATAAGCTGGAGAGACCGGCAGGTGTAGCTGGGAAGGTGCTCCAGTGGATAAGGGAGCAATAGGAAGCAGAGAGTTACGGTGAGGGGTGAGACCTCAAATTGGCGTGAAGTCACCAGTGGAGTCCAACAGGGCTCTGTACTCGGTCCTATCTTGCTTCTGATATATGTAAATGATCTCCCGGAGGGTATAGATTTATTTATCTCAATGTTTGCGAACGATGCCGAATGGTGCAAGCAAATGTAATGTAATGAAGATAGGTGTAGGGAGCAGGAGGCCAGATACTAGGTACCATCTGGGAGATGAAATACTTCAAGAGTCAGAGAAAGAAAAAGACTTGGGGGTTGATATCACGCCAGACCTGTCTCCTGAGCCCATATCAAGAGGATAACATCAGCGGCATATGCCAGGCTAGCCAACATAATAACGTCTAAGGAATCATTCAGAAGTATACCACATATGTTACAATCCTGGAGTATGCAGCCCCAGCATGGAGTCCATATCTACAAGGATAAGACCAAACTGGAAAAGATTCAAAGGTTTGCCACCAGCTAGTACCCGAGCTGAGAAGTATGAGCTACGAGGAGAGACTACGGGAATTAAACCTCACTTCGCTGGAAGACAGAAGAGTTAGGGGGGACATGATCACCACATTCAAGATTCTCAAGGGAATTGATAGGGTATATAAAGATAGTCTATTTAACACAAGGGGCACACGCACTAGGGGACACAGGTGGAAACTGAGTGCCCAAATGAGCTACAGAGATATTATAAAGAACTTTTTTAGTGTCAGAGTGTCAAATGGAATGCATTAGGGAGTGATTTGGTGGAGGCTGACTCCATACACAGTTTCAAGTGAAGATATGATAGATCCCAATAGGCTCAGGAACCTGTACACCTGTTGATTGACAGTTGAGAGGCGGGACCAAAGAGCTAAAGCTCAACCCCTGCAAGCACAACTAGGTGAGTACACACACCAGGAAGCAGCCCGTGACAGCTGACTTACTTCCAGGTACCTATTTACTGCTAGATAACAGGGGCATAGGGTGAAAGAAACTCTGCCCTTTGTTTCTCGCTGGCGCCCGGGATCGAACCCGGAAACACAGGATCACGTGTGCAGTGTGCTGTCCGCTCGGCCGGCCGGCCGAGCTGAGTGTGTGTGTGTGAGTGTATACTCACCTAGTTGTGCTTCCGTGGGGGTTGAGTTTTGGCTCTTTGGTTCCGCCTCTCAACCGTCAATCTACTGGTGTACAGATTCCTGATCTTCTTGAGCTCTATCATATCTACATTTGAAACCAGGTATGGAGTCTGCATCCACCACATCACTTCCTAGTGCATTCCATTTACTAACTACTCTGACACTGAAAAAGTTCTTTCTAAGGTTTCTGTGGCTCATTTGGGTATTCAGCTTCCACTTGTGTACCCTTGTGCGTGTACCACCCGTGGGAAATAAGCCATCCTTGTCTACCCTGTAAATTCCCCTGAGATTTTTGTATATGGTGATCATATCTCCTCGGGTTCTTCTGTCTTCAAGCCACGTGAGATGCAGTTCCCTCAGCCTTTTCTTGTAACTCATGCCTCTTAGTTCTGGGACTAGCCTAGTTGCACACCTTTGAACTTTTTCCAGCTTCGTCTTGTATTTGACAAGGTACGAGCTCCATGCTGGGGCCGCATACTCCTGGATTGGCCTTACATACATAGTATACAAGGTTCTAAAAGATTCCTTACACAGGTTTCAAAAGGTGGTTCTGATGTTAGCCAGCCTCGCATACGCGGCCGATGTTATTCTTTTGATGTGGGCTTCAGGAGACATGTTTGGCGACATGTCAACTTCTAGATCGTTCTCTCTGGCCTTTCGCGAGGCCTCTCGCGAAGGCCTTCGTCTCCCATTTGATATCCAGTGTCTGGCCTCCGATTTCCTCCCCCTTTTTTCATTACCTTACACTTACTTGGTTTGAACTTTAGTAGTCATTTGTTGGACCATTCCTTCAGTTTGTTTAGGTCATCTTGTAGCCTCATACTCTCTTCCTCTGTCTCTGTCCTCCTCATAATTTTTGCATCATCAGCCAACATTGTGAGGAACGAGTCTATACCCTCTGGAAGATCATTTACATATATCATGAACAGCATAGGTCCAGGAACTAATCCTTGAGGGACTCCGCTGGTGACGCCTCGCCGCTCTGAAACCTCACCCCTCACAGTGACGCTCTGTCTTCTGTTGCTTAGGTACTCCCTTATCCAGTGGAGTACCTTCCCCTTCACTCCTGCCTGCATCTCCAGTTTGTGCACTAGTCTCTTATGTGGTACTGTGTCAAAGGCTTTCTGGCAATCCAAAAATATGCAATCTGCC